AGCAAGTAATTCTCAATGCAACCATTCAGTCTGAGTGGAGAACCATCAAATAACAATACTTCAATATATTAATATAAACTGTATGCGCTCTGACCTGTTGAGAGTTTATAGAAATGGATCTCATTGCAAAGTTGATTACTAGAAAATAATCCTCTATCACTGTACTGGGTACCAGGTTGTTTCGGTGTATTATTAGAAGATGGTCCCTGTCCTCCAATTACTACAAGATAGTCCTCACCGTTCACTTTCATTGCTATCATGTCACAGTAGCCTTTCATCTTAGGACCAAGACGAGATGTAGTATGAGAGAGTTTCTTCCAGTTAGAGGTATCAACATTAAAACTGTATAAAATATTTCATATAATATCAATAACTATCATGTTTACCTGTATAAACTATTATGAAAACAGCCACCATGACCACAATAGCCTCCAAAATAAAATATTTCCCTTCCAATGGCAGCAGCTGCATAGCTACTAACACCCAGTGGAGGGTTACCAGTGGTGGGTTTCTGCTCCCACCTACCAGTCCTTAGGTGACACACCTCCATCACAGAACACATTGATTTCTTCTTTTCATTACTGTGTACTTCAGGAAGATCAGGCTGGACCCCACCCCACATATACAGGTAGTCTCCTACCCGTACAGTGGAGTGTTCACTTCTCTCCACTGGTTGATAGTTCCATTGATAGTCTTCTGGTGCTTTGGCTGCCATTTATATGAGGGTATGACCATAGAGATAATTAGATATTACACCCACATAGATATTATGTGGGTGTAATATCTATGGTATGACCGGTATATAACGCCCTTTTGTGACGTCATACGCATATCTAAACACTTGATAACTAAACCGGATGTGAAGACATCAAATTTTGTTTTTGCAATTTTAAAATTAAAAAATAAAAATAGCAAAAGTACACCCTATCAACAAAATCTGCAGCAACAAGAACAACAATAATAATGATTACAATAAGTCAATCAGTCAACAATGCATTATAGTTAAACAAATGTATGTTACTATACATGTATATAAGTGTACATGTACATGTATTAGTGTATAAGTACATGTATAATGTTTTAATGTCTTTAATTAAAAGACATCCAGGAATCAGCTAGAGAAAGGGGAGGGGCAGCCACACCCTCGCCTCCACTAGTAAAACTATCACCAAACATATCCATACCACCTCCAAAACCGCCCCCTGTCCTGGGGGCAACGTACCAAAAGTATCGTCAAACCCAGAAGGGGCCGGGCCAGATGTAGTGGGTGGGGCATCAGTGAAGTCTAAATAAGGTGGACGGTATGGTACAGGAGATAGGCTTCTGTGTTAGTGGGTGGACCTTGGAATATTGTGGGAGGAGCCGGTTCTGGTTTTGAGGTTGTTTCGTCACGAGCTATTGAGACCAGATCAGAGAATGCATCAATTTTCCCTCCAGCCCCAGCCCCCTGGGGGGGGGCTGTCCACTTTCCGGGGATCTGGCCCCTCTGGTTTTAGTGGGTAGGAGTGGCTAAGAAAAATTGCTGTCTAGTAGGGGGTCAGCCGGTAAACTGAAAATATCCGAGACTGGGGAGGGAGGCTGAGGGCCGCCAGGAAATCCAGCCATGCCCCCTCCAAATTAAAACTGCCCCATTCCATACCCGGCAGGAGGTCCCATTCCCAAACCAGGCATTCTCATTCCCATACCTATCAGGTAAGCAGTGGTTGTGTTTTGCTGTGGGTTACGTATAGCGTCCATAAGATCCCTCATAATGGAGGGTTCTTGTACAGGAGGGGGTGGGAAATTAGGGAGAGGGAGCTGGCCGGCCAAACCAAACAGGTTTGGGTGGGGCAAATGTGGGAGGGGCTTGAGGCTGATTCCCGTACAGACTAGTAAGAGCTCTGCTGCCTGAGAAGACGTCAGATAAATCATCAAACCCACTAGAGGAGGGAGGAGGGTTGGCTGGAGGGGGAGGGTGAGAGAGGGGAGGGGGTTGTACCCCTGGATGGGGGCGGGTACCTGCTCCTCCTGTTGGTGCTGGTGGTGGTATTATCATGTACTCTGACTGAGCAGTAGGAGCTGGAGCAGGAGCAGACTGGGAAAAAGAAAGAAAATTGTAAATTAACAATTACATGTATACCGTACGGTTGGTAATATTCGAGGGTCCAAAATTTCGTGTTTTCTCCAAAATGTCCTTAGAAGCTAATATTCGTGGGTATAAATATTCGTGGATGGCAGTTATCACTCTTCTTTTCCCTTGGATCTACAGCACTAGCTTCCAATACATGGCTTATAGTGGAATAAGGAGTAATAGACAAAGACTCTGGCTCCTCCACTGGCTTGGAAATAGTAGTTGGAGCTCTGCATGGCCCGTTTAGCCCCGTTAATTAGTTTTTATGTGTGGGTGGGTAGGGGTTAAAATTTCGTGGATAAAAATTAACCACGAAATTAACGAAAATTAATACCCCATGAAATTTACCAACCGTACGGTATACAGTTACATGCTTTTTTGTAATAAAACGCTAAGTTTAGAACTTGCATGGAAGGAAATTTAAAGTTAGTTCTTGGCTTGCTCTTTTAGCTAGTAGTTACACGTACATGCATTTATTTAGAAATCTCTGGAGCAATTTTTGCTTAAATTGATGCATCAAT